CAAACTTTTGTAGTGATAATCAGGGTGGCCCATTTCAAACAGCTGACAAGAAGGTGTGAGTAACAGTAGGGGAAAAATTAGCATGGGGAAATAGTTCTTTGTGTAATGACCCATCCACTCCTAGTCTTTATTCAAGCCTAATTTAATGGTGTCCAATTTGCAAATTAATTCCAGTTCTGCATTAATTAATTAGTCTTGTTAGAGCTGGTATGGCAACACCCATTTTTTCATGTTCTCTGTGTATATATATCTTCCTACTGTATTTTCCACTGCATGCATCCGATGAAGTGGGTTTTAGCCCATGAAAGCTTATGCCTAAATAAATTTGTTCATCTCTAAGGTGCTGCAAGTACTCCTCGTTCTTTTTGCTGATACAGACTAACATGGCTACCGCTCTGAAACCCTTAGTTTGTGATACACAGGGATGGGCCACCAGTATGGATAAAATAAGAACTGACCAGGAAACACTCACTCAGAATGAACCTTTCTGATCTGTTCAATTTCCTGGTGGACATGTGTTCTCCTCACAACACCCTCCTCCCCAATCATTGTTAGGTTTCTGGCTGTCAATCTTAGCAAAGAGATCAAGAATGGAATAGACCAGTGGTCACCAACCATAGAATCATAGAAGATTAGGGATATAAGAGACCTCAGGAGGTCATCTAGTCCAACCCCCTGCTCAAAGCAGGACCAACCCCAACTAAATCATCCCAGCCAGGGCTTTGTCAAGCTGGGCCTTAAAAACCTCTAAGGACAGAAATTCCACCACCTCCCTAGGTAACTCATTCCAGGGCTTCAGCACCTTCCTAGTGGAATCATAGAATATCAGGGTTGGAAGGGACCTCAGGAGATCATCTAGTCCAACCCCCTGCCAAACAGTTGTTTTTTTTTAACCCCAGTTCCCTAAATGGCCCTTTCAAGGATTGAATTCACAACCCTGAGTTTAGCAGGCCAATGCTCAAACCACTGAGCTATCCCTCCCCCACCTGTCTTTCCTAATATCCAACCTAGACCTCCTTCACTGCAACTTGAGACCATTGCTCCTTGTTCTGTCATCTGCCACCACTGAGAACAGCCGAGCTCCATCCTCTTTGGAACCCCCCCTTCAGGTAGTTGAAGGCTGCTATCAAATCCCCCCTCACTCTTCTCTTCTGCAGACTAAACAAGCCCAGTTCCCTCAGCCTCTCCTCGTAAGTCACGTCCCCCAGCTCCCTGATCATTTTAGTTGCCCTCCACTGGACGCTCTCAAATTTGTCCACATCCTTTCTGTAGTGGGGGGCCCAAAACTGGATACAATACTCCAGATGTGGCCTCACCAGTGCCGAATAGAGGGGAATAATCACTTCCCTCAATCTGTTGGCAATGCTCCTACTAATGCCGCCCAATATGCCGTTAGCCTTCTTGGCAACAAGGGCACACTGCTGACTTATATCCAGCTTCTCATCCACTGAAATCCCCAGGTCTTTTTCTGCAGAACGGCTACTTAGCCAGTCAGTCCCCAGCCTGTAGTGGTGCATGGGATTCTTCCATCCTAAGTCCTAAACCAGTTGATTGCAATCGACTGGTTGATCCTGAAGCCTCTGCCAGTCAATCATGATCTCCAGTTGCTAAAAGTCCAGTGGCACAGCAGGGCGAAGGCAGGCTCCCTGCCTGCCCTGGTCTTGCACCACTCCCGGAAGTGGCCAGCACACTCTTGGCCTGTGGCCCCTGGAGGTGGGGGTGGGCAGGGGTTTCCATGCACTGCTCCTGCCTGCAAGCACTGCCCCCGAAGCTCCCACTGGCCGGGAATGGGGAACTGCTGCCAATGGGAGCTGCGTGGGTGGTGCCTGCAGGAAGGGGCAGTGTGCAGAACCATGTGCCCCCCCTGGGGCTGCCGGGGCATGCTGGCTGCTTCCGGGAGCAGTATGGGGTTGGGGCAGGCAGGAAGCCTGCCTTAGCCTTGCTGCGCTGCTGCCCAGAGCCATCCGAGGTAAGTGCTGCCTGGTGAGTGCCCTCCCCTCGACTCCCTCCCGGACCCAGCACCCCATACCCCCTTCTGCACCCCAAACCTTCTCCTGCACCCCAACCCCCTGCCCCAGCCCTGAACCCCCTCCCAGATCCAGCACCCCGTACCCTCTCCTGCACCCCAATACTCTGCCCCAGCCCAGTGCCCCCTCCTGCATCCAAAAATCCCTCCCAGAGCACCCCCCGCACCCCCCTGCACCCCAACCCCCTGCCCCAGCCCGGTGAACTTGAGTGAGGGTAGGGGAGAGCAAGCGACGGAGAGAGGAGGGATGGAGTGAGTGAGGCGGGGCTTCAGGGAAGGGGCGGGGTAGATCCTGGGTTGCACTTAAATTCAAAAAGTGATCTTGTGTGTAAAAAGGTTGCAGACCACTGGAATAGACCATGGAAACAGAACTCTCTTTTTATGCCTATTCTCTAGGCCAGGGTTGAGAGGGACTTTGGCAGGGCTATCCTTGTTCTGAACTTGAACTTCTTCTTTGAAGAAACAGAGGACTTCAGTCTCCAGACTCGTCTAGCCTAGCCAGAATCTTTCACCAACAAAAATTTCACCCCAAAATTAAAGAAGAGAGTGATGCACGTGAAGAAGGATCTGAGAATTTTTCTAAGGTTCTGATGTTGGCCTAGAGGGGTTTTTATACACCATATTTGTTTCGCATGGTGTTTTAATCCAGCAACTGAAGGGTAATATGGGCCAAATAGCTTAATCAGAACAATCTGAACTTGCTGTCTTCCTGCTGGCTAGAAATGCCTGGGCTCACATCAAAAGTAAATGCTTTTATCCGAGCTTGCAACTGCAGCCTGAGTAGAAGTGGTAACTCAGTATAAGAATTCTGGCTTCTCTGACCAATGAGAGAGCAGCTAGGGAGAGATTTCATAACTGATTAGAATGCTGGTTTGCTCTATAAAACTCCTTGGACTCTTTCCTGATTGTCTTACATTTAAATAAGCAATTTTAAGGACACTTGGTGATGCTTCATTAACCACATTACTGGGAGAAAAGCTGGTCTTGTTGCATTTGTGATCCAACCGAAACAAAGTAGTATGGGAAATCTAGCTACAGCGTCTGCCACTGTGAGATTTTCAACTGGATTTGACACAAAAGAGGCTGGCTAAACCTTTAAACATATGGATGCTTATCATGACTTAATGAAATCTTTTGAAGTTCATGCTTCTCTAAGAGCCTGATCCAAAGCCCATTGATATCAATGGGAATTTTTCCTAACTAATGATCAGAGCCACTAAAATAACATGGGAGGTGAAATTCCGATCCTACAATGTAAAGATTTTTACACAGTTTTGCAAAAATTCTTTTAAAACATTATTTTTCTAAGGACCCTAACAATGGAACTAAATTCAGGTCAGCCTTTGGACACGAGCTAGCAGTCACAGTCACTGCTTCCAGGGTGGAGATGTCAATACAATCCTATGGTCTGGAACATAAGTCCAGTCAGTCATAGCACTGTCTCTGTACTAGGGTGTAAAATGAAGGATTTGTGAGAGCCTTGGCCAGGGACCATCCAACAAAGCATGCTACATGCAGGGGATCCCCGTGGGGGACAGCATTTGACTTCTCGCTCCCTGAGCGGGCAGGAGCTGGGCGTAATGTGGAGGCAGCACATTCAGTCCCTAGAGGAGGGAGCTCCATGCCTCATTCCTGGGTTACTTTCCAGCTGACTTGGGAGGGGCTCTGGAAGGAATCACATCCAAAATTCCTCAGGTGACTTAGACCCAGTGTGGGAGCTTTACATGGGTGGGGATGAGTGAGGAAGGAAGGAGGGAATAGAGATTCTCATCTCTGCCTGCTGTCACCACCAATAGGGATTTCCTGATGATGAGAGAGACTAAATACCAAAATCAAATCTTCTGGCAGAGATTGAGGCAAGAGAAGCTTGTCAAGGCAGTGTGATGTAGCACAGATTGGAGTAGATGAGGGGAGAGAATCTTGATTAATGAGGGAGAATGGCATGGCATAGATGAGTTAGCTTGACATCGCTCATCACGTGGGATGGGTGGGGCCCATGTCTGGAGGGAGGGGAGAGCAGTGTCTCCTACCTGACAAAGGTGAGTAGAAACAGGGATCCCAGAACTCCATAGAAAGGGATGTACATGATGAAATAGCGCATGTAATAACTGAAGGCCCAGGCCAGGTCCTAGGGAAAGAAAGAAGAGATAATGCATTAGAGGCAACGTACCCTCCCCTCACCCCCACCAACACCCCTCCTTAAGCCAGCTCTCTTTACAGAGTGGACAGAAGCCTCTTTTCTCCCTCCCCAGATAAGGTTCTCTCCACCATCCACGTGGGACATGGTTTGACACACAGATCAGAGACAACCTTTCACTCACCGCCCAGAACCTGCGTCTGATCATGGTCATGATGATTTGCATTTGGAAGTACACGGGGATGAGGAGAGGTGGGAAAACTGAAAGGCAAACAAAAGACAGCAGATGAGGGAGACAGGTATGTAACATGAGGTGAACAGACATGCTGGGGGCCTGAAAGTAAGAGTTGAGGCAAGAGCTTGTGAAGGGGAAACCAGATCTCTGCTACTGTCTCTCAGCAAAGAGAGGAGGCATTTCCTCCATGTCCTGCTCACCTTCTGGTATAGAAGATTCTAGACCAACAATGAGCAAGCCCAGGACTTCTGCTGACATGTTCATCTACTGGGGGCTGCCTCCTAGCCTTAGTCACTTGCCTCACTTAATTTAGCCTCTTTGGTGGTGGTAAGGATCCATGGATCTCAATGATGATGTCACGGAGGAACTGAGGTGCCTGCTTCTATTGCAATTAAGCTGTGAAAGGGATAGTGGGCCCTGGATAGGGAGGGATTAGTTAGGAAGTAAAGAATAACTCTGCTGAGGCAAAAGGGAGCCGCAAGGTAAAGATGCATCCCCTCTATCTCACCATATAGGGAAGTGTAGGGGGCCGGGTCATACTCACCTAGGAAGAAGTACTCATGCTGGTGGTTGTAAGGTAGGTATTTCAACTTCTTCTTGCCATACTGGAGGGGGAGACAAATGACAGAGAACTGTCTTAGCTCATTACACCCATGGATATGAGAAAACTCTCCTTGGGCGGAGACTCTCAATGACACCTGTTTATATCTGGTTAACTCTCTTTAGTCAGAGCTGAAGATTTATGGCCTAATCCTACCCTACTGAAGGCAATGAGGGTTTTGCCATTGCTTTACATGGAGCAGGATCAAGCCCTCAGAAAGCTGTCTTAGCATACAATACTTCCTTCTCCAAGGCTATGTCTAGAGTAGGAAAATAGGTCATGATTTGAGATGTGTTAACTGATTGTTGTCAGGGTTGATCTTGCCCTGCTAATACATGTTTAATCATGACTTCCCTATGTACACTAGCTGCAAGCTCCCATTTAAAATCATCTATCTTGAGTACTTATTTGGTCCCTATTACTAAAGTACCTGAGCACCTCTCGGTCTTTCATGTACTAGAGATAAGGAAATGCTGTTATCCTCCTGTTACAGAGGGGGAACTGAGGGCGAGAGACTGAAGCCCAGAGTTTTAAAGGTGTTGCTCCACTCAGGGCTTGTCTACACTATAGCCAGGATTGATGCTGTGGTGATCAATCCACCGGGGGTCGATTTAGTGGGTCTAGTGAAGACCTGCTAATTCGACCGCTGATAGCTTGGATGTCGACTCTGATACTCCACCAGATTGAGAAGAGGAAGGGGAGTCGATGGGAGAGCGTCTCCTGTCGACACAGCCTAGTGTGGACCCCATGGTAAGTAGATCTAAGCTACATCGATTTGAGTTACGCTATTCACATAACTCAAATTGCATAGCTTAGATCGACTTTTCCCTTTAGGTCTCAGTGTTTCAATGCCTAACTGACTTAGGAGCCTAAGTTTTGTTTCCAAAAGTGACATAGGCACTTAGGAGCCTGAGTCTCATTGAAAATCAAGTTGTCTAAAAATGGATGGGTTCTGGCTTCAAGTTTTCATGAAAGAAATGGAAAATTGTGGCCACACTGAAAAGGTACTGTGACATTTTTAGTCAAAAGCCACGTTTCATCAAATAAAATATTTTGAAGAAAAAATATCAACCAGCTCTAATAAACATGCACGAGTGTCATAACGATCCTTTGGGCAAGAGGAAGGAAGGTCTAATGGGTGAGGCACTGGAGTGGGATTCAGGAGATCCTGTTCCATGTCTTCATCCGAGTTCAAACAGGCTAACACCTTTCACCAGTAATACATTCACATGGCCTGTGGGTCACTGGCGATTTCAGGAATTACAGATTTATGAGAAGGGAATTAAGTGCGATCCAAGTTCTGCAAGGCTGCACTAGGGTAAGGTTTCAATATACAAGAGTGCAGGCACATCCAAGCACTGATATAGTGCTCATACTTCATACACTCATCTTGGAAGACAGAACCAATTCCTTCATTGCTATAAGCACCCACATTCTGCTCAGCTATTTGTGCAGTGATGGGACCATCATCCTCAAAACCTAGCTAACAGGGGCCAGCTCTTCAAATGGTGTAAATCGGCAAATTCCATTGACATCAGTGGAGTGGCACTGATTTACACCAGTTGAAGATCTGACTCCTGATATCTAGCTACCATAGTGTAATGGTTGATTAGTGGTTTGTTATGGTCCATTCGGGGTCACTCATTTCAGTGACATATGGCTAGACCTGTCTTCATAGAACACTCTCAGTACCTGTGCAGGTAACTCATCTTTTAGGCAGTCTCTCTATCATGTATTTGGAATTAGCTTCTTTGTGGCCTAGAAGTGGGTTGTGGTGGCATGAGTGTGCACCAGTATTTTCTTTTATGTCTTCCTATATTCTGTTTGTTAAAAATGCCGTTGCCGTGGTGTTTCAGATCCACACGTTGGCTTTCTAAGCTTTTTTTGCTGCATGTCCTTATGCTGATACGTCATATATCACTATTGATCTTTACAATACCCCTCCCTTAGGTTTTTGTACAATACAGACAGTAAATATTGTGGCCCCAGATAATTGGATTTAATTGCATTACCTTAATAGATACAGTTACTGTGTGCAGTGTGGCTGACTCATAGTTGCCTTGGGAACCATGGCTCTGAACCTGAGCTGTGGTAAATCAATATAGCCCCATTGACTTCATGGATTTACATAGTCCAATATCTGGCCCCCTGTCTTTTGAGTGTATGGATTTTTGCAGGACTAGGTTGTGTCCCAAGGACATCGCCCATGCTTGATTTGCCCCAGGAAGGAATTACATCTCAGGGAGCTGCAATTCCCTCTGTGTTCCCTGCTTGCTTCAGGGGTATAATATACTGGCAGTAAATTACCATTCACCCTGCTAGGCTGGCTCAGCTCTGCTGGGTGGTGGATTGGTAAATGTAGCCAAAGCTTCACTTATTCCCTGCCCCACCCCCACTTGCTCCAGTGGGGAAGTAAGTAAGCATGCAGCACCTTTTACCCCGGCATGACCAGACCCAAAGCCTGGAATGCCCATACAGGGGCACACATGGGGAATTCCTCTCCCCTATGCCCCTATAAGGGCATGAAGTACAACCAAGCCTTTGGTGTTTAACACATCAGCACTACAATTGCATTAATGTAGGTCTCTCCTCTCCCCGCCCCCCAGAGTTTCCTCGTGTTTTTCCCCAAGCAGAAGACACAAGAGGAAACCATTATTCTGATGTAACCATGCAATCTGCTCTAAACAGAATTTGCCAAGGCTCCAATGAAGTGAGGACTCCTGTTTGTACACAAATATAGTAAGGCATTTCTTTCAATATTAGATCAACTTTTTAAAGGAATTTGCTTTGACTGCTCACAAGAGGTACCTGTCCTCACAGAAGAAATAAACCGATGACAAGTTGTAAATATCAGAAAGAAACCCTGTTTGTGTTAAGTCAGCAAAAGAGTATTCTGCACCATTTTATCCACACTTGGATATCTCAGAACAATGGGATGAAAATTTCCCTATTTCTGCATTCTCTTCATTCTCATTCCCTAGCTCTCAAGCTACCTAAAAATATGATCACCTTTGGGCTGAAAACGGGCATGAGAAATTATATCGACCACTGAACTTTCTGGCCCTCACATCTTCTCAAATTTTGATCCAAACTCCTGTCAGAAAATATAGATGCTGGGAACATTTCCTCAAAGATGAAGTCTTAAGAGCCGAGGTCTGATCCTCCAGACACTGATCAACCTCTGTCCTCACAGAAAAAGTTCTCTAAAGCCCACCAGCAAACACCACTTCCTTGTCTTACCTCAACGGGCTGAGAATCTCCCAGGACAAAAATATGCAGCATGTTCACATCTGGGTCCTTCTTGAAGATGTTGGGCTTGGCATGATGTTGGAAGTGACGATGATTCCACCAGTTTGCTGAGGCACCCTGGGAAGAGGGAGGAAATGTTTAGTAAATGGGGAGGCATGGTTCCCGCTAATGGAGAGATGACCCCCGGCTATGATATTCATTCACTTGTATATTCTAAACTGCCCATGGCATATAGTTTATGTCCAAACTCTTAGCTACCTGTGAAATTGTTGTGAGAGTGAAGGGGCTAAATCCTCTGCTCTGACAGACTGATTGGTAGCAGCTAAGGATCTGGATCTGTCTGGATTAGTATATCATTAAAAAAAAATGCTACTCACATTGAGAAAAAAGAAGTTAGCCTTGCTTACATGTAACTCCTAATATTTATATGCTGCAAAGACAGGCAGACAGACATCCCACCAGCAGGGGAAGCACAAGATAAACTGCATCCTTTACCCAGAGCGCTGTTGTCTTCAGTGTCATCACCCATTTCATTGATGATGTCAAGAATGATGTAAGCAGGCAAAGCCATGTTGGCTTATGCAATGGAAGAAAGAATATGACAAGAATCCCTCTTTGCCCAATGGAAAAAAGACAAAACTGGCCAGGAAAGAAATATTATTTTCCAGTGTCTAAGAAGGTTTTAATGGAGAGTATTAAAAAAAAGGACTGGACCGTGTCCCATAAGGGTCCTATATCCTCATTTCCCTCTGGCACTTGTGAAACACAGTGCCAAGCTGTCCCACTGCCAAGGATGCTCGGGCAGAAGGCCAGCAAAGCACTTGCCTTGTGACTGGTGATAAGCGTTGTGGGCAGCTGGCTGCTTCCAAGAATTCAGAGTGGACAGAGAGCCTCCATCTCACAAAGCTGCCTTTAGTTTAGTCATGTTAATGAGCATTCAGAGGTTACTTGCCCCTGCTTACACATGTTGGAAACCGGTTGTCCCAGGACTGGGCAATCTGAGAGTTCTGGTTGCTATGAATAACGGGGCATTGTTGGGAAGCTGGCAGTGAGGGAATAGCCAACCGCAACGTGGGAGCCCTCGTTTTTAGATTGCTGCAATAAATTGCTTTGTGGTTTTTTGGTGTTCCCTGTTCAGGACCTGCAAGTGATCATCTATAAAGTGAAGAAGGAGGAACACAGAGAATTGTGAGATGGGCAAAGGTCCAACATTGCCCCTCCTCTCCCCCGGAAGGAAAGGAGTTGTATCATGTAGGCTATGCCCATCTAATCCTAAAAGATTATCCTCTGTTCAGTGCTCTAGAGGAAGGGAAATCCTGCCTCTTCACCCCAGATCCCTGCTGATCTCTCTCTCTGAGATATCATCTCTCTGCTCTGATATTTTGCCTGCCTCCTCGTTTTTTTCTATACTGCCAAATGTGCCCCGAAGAAAAAAATTTATCTAGACCCCAAATCTGGCAATTTGCTTAACCTTGTCCATACAAATGAGACTCTCCATATTTAATCCCTTTTTATACACCAGGAAGAATGGGCTTCTTCTGCTAGGACTGCCTATTTCCTCTCCTTGCATTAAAGCAGGTTGGGTAGCAATTGAGGATTATTTGTGCTGCTTGCAAATTGGGAAATGTCTGGTCAATACCACCCAAGCTGGGCCTCAAGAGGAGTAGAGGGACACCGTCACAAGGTGAGAACAGAGCTGTGGCCAAGGAGGTTACTTGTTGCTGTGGTTTTCAATAGATGATGCCCCACCTTGGGTCTGGACACAGTGTTGTCTCACTGCTGCCTTTTAATACTTTTTATTGCTAGTGCGGTCATTCCATACCTGAGGTTAAAATGGCCAAGGCCAAACTAAATATGCATCTAATAATGCCTACCATTCCATCCCTTCGTACAAGACTCCACACTGTAGGTGGATCGTTTTGCCAGCTATATTGTATAGGACTCTTGTGTTGGACCCTATCCTGGACTGAAGTTCTAAAATTGTCCCGAATGGGTGAGAGATGTCAGGGTGGTCATTTTAATCAATAAACACATTACTCGGGCTTTATGTAGGGAAAGTGGGGGGAATGGGGAGTAAAGGAGATTGTATAATGCTTCATTTTAACAATCTTATGGGCCAGATCCCCAGCTGGTGTAAATCAGCATAGTTCCATTGGTGTTACTGGAGCTATAATGATTTACACCAGCTGAGGATCTGGCTCCCCTATCTGAGCCTCCAAGAACTCCACCTGGAATCTGTCACTAATTCTTCCTCCCTGCTGCTGCTCCCTCTGAAAGGGTGAGATCCGACTGGCAGGCTTTATGGGGTTTATGGCTTTGACACCTACAGTCTGTGAAATGGGATGGAGTGGATCCCCAGTCTCCTTTGCTGCAATCATTTCCTTTCTGCACAGTGTGTGCTGGCATCCAGCAAATGACCTTTACCTTCAGGTGCCCGATGACAAACTTGTGGACGATATGGTTCCATTTAGACTTCTTAAAGACAGAGAGGTGTCCAAAGTCATGCTGTAGCCACCCAGCCTGGGCCTGTAGAGGAAAAAGGACCAGGGGTGACAGGGCTGCTTGAAATCAAAGGTAAGTAAGAAAGGACACTCAGAGTGGAAGGCAAGTATTGTGTGTCTGTATGAAATATGCACAGTCCTATGCACAGAAAAAGCATGGAAGGGGGAGAGTTTTGTATTAATTTAATTGGTATTGGATCTATGGGAGGGAGACGTGAGACAGGCAGTGGACTCAATGCATCCGAGTGTGAGGCAGTGAGTATGCGCCCTATAAGCAAGAGCAAGGCAGTGAGGGGGCTGAGGGGTGCATGAGGTTCATGAATGTTCTTCCAAAGTGAGTGTTGTGATAGTCCCGGTATGAGGTGCTCTGAATGACTGGATGCACTGACAGTCACCTGTCGTGGAAGCACATGCACCCCCATTACTCCATGCCATTTCTCACCTGGGAGGTTGCAAGGATGCAGGAAAGGATAAAGGTTGTGATCCAGCCGGTGCCATAGTATGAAACTAGTAACCAAGCCAAAGCTTCCATGATGATGATGTGACCCAGGTAAAGGGAGAAAAATAAGGGATCTGCTTTGAACAAATTCATATCCTCTGCTGTCTTTCTCAGGGCTCGGAAATCATCCACCAGCTGGGGCTGCAAAATGGAAATGCAGGATTTAAGATGCACCTTCTTTACATGTGTGAATGTGTCCATTCAGGCTTGGGCTTCCATACTATAACCCCTGCCTGTTTTGGAGTCATCAGCTTCCCCAGAATGGGAGAAGAATTAGTCTCTGTACTCATGCAGTCTTCAGAATTTCTATACTGCCCCCCACAGGAATCTGATCCTAGTCCCTACCCTGATGGGTCTTATCCCACCTTCTGAATTACAATTAACATCCAGATCCTCAGCTGGTGTAAGTCACCCGAGACCCACTAAAGTCAATATAGCTATGGCGATTTACACCAGCTGGTCCAACACCTCTCCATTTATCCAGTCTCAGTGCTCCGTAATTCATTCCATATAGGCTATAAAGGGACATCTCCCCTCTCCTTGGGGAAGAGAGAATTCAGTCTCTTCACTTATGCATAACCCTGAACCTCCGCTGATGAGAGAGTATAGTGCCAAGGCAGCTCCATTCTCTTTGGGATGTGTTCAGTTAGCGTGCAGTCACTCATGAAAGCAGGTCAAGAGGTAATGCAGGTTAATGTAGTCACTGCTATTGTGCATGAAACAGGCATGTCATAAACTCAGTAGGCTAAAGAACAATAAGGAAGAGAAAGGGTTTCACTTTAGGAGTCAGTTGTGCAGTGCACAGGGTCTGAATAATGAATGAATGGAACATTTGGGACTTGCATAGAGCTGGACACATTGACATGGAGTGGATATAGGGCCCTGTTGTGTTACAGCTTCATAAGCACAGTGCTCGGAGCGAGCAGTTTGTTTCATCTCACCCACTGGTGTTATTGCCACTTACTCCACAAACATGGCCACTTTCACAGACTTCTCCATTGCTGAGAGCTAATCAGGACAAGTCCATATGAAGTTCAGAGTAGTGTTTGCTTGGGCTGCGTGGTCAATGGTATGGAGCAGAGGATGGAAGAGAGTTCAAAACTGCTTTAGATGACAAGCAGTCTCGTTTTGATGGCCTCATGGTCTTTTGTCCGTAGCACAAAACTGACATGCAATATGGAACGATGGGCAGACCCGGGTCATGAGAATTTGAGCAACAGGGTTGTTGACTAGAGATGCACTCCAGCCACAAAGACTGGATCCAGATCTTGATCCATATTTATCCAAAGTTTGCAAGTGTTCAAATCGGCGAGTTTGAACTGGGCTCTTCTTTAGTTGTCACAGATCAGGCCTGAACTGCACAAGCAGAGCTGTTGAAAGCCTGCAGGAGGAGAATAGCAGGGGGTGCTGCAGGTCAGGAGAAGTTGACCTAAGTGTTGCCTGTCCCTGCACAAGTCAATACTCGGACATCCACATGGCCACACAGAGCTGTCTGACTGTGGGTGTCTTTCCCTGCAGTTTCCTGCACTTGCTAGAGCTGTCTATAGTGAAGAAGGCTTGTGAATTATATGTAGTGGCTTTGCATACAGGAACCTGGAGAGCAGCTTTGTAGATAAATTGCGGCATGACCAGACTCTTCTCCAGAAACAGAGCCCACAGAGAGGGGTTTGCAGCTACTCACGTTTTTGCCTCGGTCCTGGCTAGGTTCCCCTGGGGCGAGCTCTCCAATCAGTAATGGCTTGAGAAACTTTTGCACAAAGCTGGGGTTGAGGTGAAAGGCCCAGAAAGCATCCTGGATTGGAAACACAGGCAGACAGATGGGATTCAATAAAAGCAATTGCAGTGGTCCTTTCCTGTTTGTTCCCAGCAATGACTTCTCCTCAGGGTTTCCCCCACATTACCCAAGCAGTTTCCCCAATTCTGGTGTCAGTTCACTGTCAGTACCCACAGTACACAACTCTTTCAGTGCAGTGTTCCTGGTTCTAGCAGATGCTGCTAGAATTAGATGAATGAATATGCAGTTAGTAGACAAAGGGCCAGATTTTTAAAGGTATTTAGGTGCCTAAAGATGCGGATAGGTACCTAAAGCGTGCTCTAATTCCCACTGATTTCAGTGGAATTAAGCACCTAGGCAAAAAGAAGTCCAATATATCTTTAACCCCAATTAGAAGCTGTGAATTTGTCTGCCTTATGTATCAGAAAAACATCTCTCGATACGCAGATGATCAGTCTCATTCTTTCAGTATAATGTCTCTAGTAAGCCCTAAAGGATCTGAAAAGAAAGATATTAAATATAATCAAAGAATGTATGGATGATGTCCACTAAATTTAGAGGAATGATTAAAGATTTTTTGAGTTTTTTTTCTAAGTTAGTATTATTATTTGCATTACCAACAATACAAAAAATAATAAAGTAGGACCCCATTGCCCAGTATAAACACCAGAACAAAAGGACAATCCCTGCACCAAGGAATTTTCAATCGAAGTGTAAGAAAGTGAAAACAGATGCATATAGACAAATGGAGGAGTACAAGTAAGCAAGGAGACAATATTGGTCACCGTGCTCGGCAGTGGTCTCTGCACACCAACAGCCTTCTGTAACTCTAAAAGTGATATGAATTCCAGAGGAAAAAGAATATTGAAAGCCTGTGTATAGCTCTAAAATATTCAATGAAAATGCTTAAAAGGGGGGAATTGCAACTCCAGGCTTGGAAGCTTGAATGCCCAAACCTGAGCTCCAGCCCAAGTTGCAACATCAAAGCACTGTCTACACAGCTATTTTTAATGCGCTAGTTTGAGTCCTGCTAATACAAGTGTGTGGCTCTGGCCTGGGAGACACGCTCCGAGTGTAGACATACCCTAAAACATCCATAGTACTGAAACAGTAATATGTCAAAGTACAGTATGGAACTTTTAATGCACAGAAGCAATTAGTGTATGGCAAACTAGCGTGCTATAGATTTACCCTCTGGCTTCTATACTAGACTAGACTAGATGCGATAAATCCACCCCCGCTGATCGATCACTGCCTGCCGATCCTGTGGGTAGGGTAGACATACCCTAAGTCTCTGTGTAGACAAGCCCTAAGCAGCCTGCTCTCAGAAATATTATGCAAGGTAAAAGTTGACCTGAGAAAAACCTTGTGTTAACATTAGTAAGCGAACGCTCCCTGGACACAATAAAAAAGGGTTATCCAAATTAAATTCTGTTCAGATACTGGCTATAATATTTATCCAATTGGCAAATCTGATGGTTAGATTTCAGCTTTAAAATCTGACTGGAACCTCAGCAAATTCATAAAATTGACCCCCACTTATGCACCCAGAACATGCCAACTCCCACACAGTGGAGGGGAAAACGATAAATCCATTTCTTCAGAGTTTTCAAGGTGTTGGATAGTTCCCTCCTTACAATGTGCAAGGTTCTGGCTCTGCTACCTTGAGACCCTGGATGGGATGCAGAGGCCAAGTTGCTGAGTCAGCCAGAATTCTGCACAGGGCTCCCCCGTCAGTGCACACTGCATGTGTGTAACAAATGTTCCTCTCTGTGCTTTGCCAGTTCCATTGGTGGCAAAACCTTGACTCTTCCTCCATCCAACCCTTTCCTGCTCAGTTTTAGGTACTTAGCTCCCACAGGTGCTGGCAGGGAAAAGGGACTATACTCCTGATGGGATTCTGACTGGCACTTTAGTTTTACACACCCCTCCCACCACAGGAACTGGCCAGAATCTGGCCCAAAGTGGCAGTGGGGTGGGGAGTTTCTCAAAAGCAAGGATCCCTCCCTCCAGCTCAGTCATTTCTGTTACAGCAAAATTCTGATATTCACTCCAGAATCTTCACAGAACTTCCACCCAGTGAATTTCAACAGGTCCACATGGTACTGAGATCTACTGTCACAAGAGCCACCACCAGAAACCTGCTTATTTGTTTAAATTGCCAAATTCCTTATCTATGGTATTTCCCTTTGCTTGAGAGATCACAAGGGGACTCAGACTTTGTTTTCTTTTGCTTGACACTGTCCATTACGTAGTGACCTAGCCCATTGCCAGCATGTGGATTTTCACTATTCACACAATGAGACTGGCCAATGTGGTCACTGTGTCACCCAAGGAAATAAGGTTAAGATTTTCAAAGGAGACGAGGTATTGGCCAAGGTCTCCGAGCCTGGAATAGAACCCAGGAGTGTTAAGTCCCATCTATTGAGAAGGGCTTGGCAAACAGAATACAGAAAACTTGGGAGTCTGTAGGAGGGAGTTCAGGGGATTTTCATCCTTTCTTCTTTAAGGCAAGGGACTAGAAAGAAAAGACAATGATGGCTACGGAGGCAGCGCTAGAGGTGTCCTGAGAAGAAGTGGAGACAAAGACTGGATGCAGAAGCTGCAGGTTGTATAATATCTTTGAATGGGTACCTGATGAAAGATATTTACATATGACATGCCACCTGATAGAGCTCATGGCAGAAAAGATCCAAGTGCTAGAGATCCACCTGGAGATGATGGTGGAGTTCAGATGGGGACTTGAAGACATGAGAGAGGAAAGGAGGGAGGACTGTAAAGACATAAGAAGTGATAACATAGTTTGTTACGAAGGATTGCAAAAAAGGTTCTACTGGGATTCTGTTAAGGGTTAGATATAGACCCCCAGGGTCGGATTTGGATATGAATAGAGAACACTTAAATATTATTAGAGAGTATCATTAAATACTACTGGAAATTGTGCCATTTTGGGAGACTTTAACTTCCCAGATATAGATTGGAGAACGAATGCTACCAATAATGGTAAGGCCCAGTTACTCCTGGATGTGGTAGCTGACAGATTTCTTCACCAAACTGTCACTAAGCCCACAAGAGTTGATTCTATTTTAGACTTGGTTTTGGTAAGTAGTGGGGACATTATAGAAGAGCTGGTCATAGTAAAAAATCTTGGATCGAGTGATCACAAGTTGATTTGGTTTAAATTCAATGGAAGGATAATCCGAATAGGTTGGCTGCTATGTTTTTTTTCCTTCAAAAGGGCAGTTTCTGAGAAAATAAGGGAACTAATTAGTGATGTCAGGTTGACCAAACAGCTCAGGGGACTTAAATGTGGAGAGGGCTTGGAATTTCTTTAATTCAACAGTGCAAAAACTGTCTGGAATTTGCATCCCAAGCAAGGGGGAAAAACTTGTAGGGAAATGCTCCAGATTTAGCTGGATGAACAACCACTTCATAAAGGAGACGAGGAGTAAACAAAGAGCCTACAAGGAAAAGAAGAAGTGATTAATCAGCTAAAAAAGCTGCATCATGGAGGTCAGAAAGCTGCATCATGTGAGGAGAAGGTGAGAATTGCCAAAAGTCAAACTGAGTTGGACCTTGTCAAAGAAATTAAAACAAACAGTAAAAGGTTCATTAGCAGTATAACTAAAAAGAGAACAAGAAAAGAAGTGGGGCTGCTGTGCAGTGAGAATGGGATAGAAATTAAAGATAATCTAGATATATCCCCAGTAAATTAATACTTTGCCTCAGTTCTCAATAAAGAAGACAAAATTGGGAGTCATTGTCAATGAAGAGGAGGATTGGAATATCATAAGGGGGGAAATGGATGATCTTGAGGACTGGAGAAAGAGGAATGGGATGAAATTTAATAGCATAGAAGTGTAAGGTCATGCACTTAGGGACTGATAACAAGAATTTCTGCTGTAGACTGGGGCCTCATCAATTGGAATTGACAGAGGACGAAAAAGACCTGGAAGTATCAGTTGATCACAAGATGGTTATGAGCCACCAATGTGATGTTGCTCTGAAAAAAAGCAAATACCATCCTAGGATGTATCAGGTAAAATATTTCTAGTAGAGACAGGAAAGCATTAATGCCATTGTACAAGGCACTGGTAAGAATACTGTGTATAATTATGAACAGCCGTGATCAAGAAAGATGAATTCAAATTGGAACAAATGCAGAGAAGGGCTGGAAATGGTTTCTTATCACCAGAGTGAGGTTTGCGACCATATTTCCTATAGGAGTAGGGGAAACCAACAACCTAACTAGTTTTAAGCTGGAGCGATTATGTTAATGAATGGAATTATATGATGGGTTGCCTATGATAGCAGGGGACTGGGGTCTGTAATTTAGAGCTGGCCCCTTTCAGTCCTATGGCACCTTAGAGACTAACAGATTTATTTGAGCATAAGCTTTCATGGGCTAAAACCTACTTCATCAGATGCATAGAATGGAACACACAGAAAGAAGATATTTATACATACAGAGAACATGAAAAGGTGGGAGTAGCCATACCAACTGTAAGAGGCCAATCAATTGAGATGAGCTATCATCAGCAGGAGAGAGAAAAAAACCTTTGAAGTGATAATCGAGATGACCCATAGAAGGTGTGAGGATATTTTAACATGGGGAAATAGATTCAATTAGTGTAATGACCTAACCATTCCCAGTCTCTGTTCAAGCCTAAGTTAACTGTATCTAATTTGCATATTAATTCAAGTTCAGCAGTCTCTCTTTGGAGTCTGTTTTTGAAGTTTTTTTGTTGCAAAATTGCCACATTCAAGTCTGTCACTGAGTGGTTAGAGAGGTTAAAGTGTTCTCCCACTGGTTTTTGAATGTTATGATTCCTGATGTCAGATTTGTGTCCATTTATTCTTTTGCGTAGAGACTGTTCGGTTTGGCCAATGTAT